CTGAGGTTAAGGCAAGTGAGCAGACTCACCTTGGAGCTGTAGAGGTAGCTAAGCTATGCTAGGTGTGCAGGTGTGGGGAGGTAAACATTCACAGGTGGGCTCTGGAGAAAGGTCAGGAGACTTGTGAGAATCTTTGTCAGAGGGCTTTTCCACCTCGGTGAAAATATGACTTCTAGTCAAGGAATGTCCTCAAGGTCATTGTGGAAAAGGTGTCGCGGTGAAAAGCTGGGTTCTAAGAAATAGGCTTGTCCAAGTAGACTGAAGGCCAGTGCCTTCCAGGTGAGCGGGCCGTGTTTGTTGTGACACTGACTGTTGTCAGACACATCTTTGCCACCGTCCTCATATTTTTCTCCGTAAGATAGTTTCCCTCCAAGGCTCTGTAAGATCCCCAAATCCCAAGAAAATGTTTCTCTTTACTAATATATGAAAATTATGCACACACACCTTATTTTCTCAGTTGCCAAAATATGTGTAAGCAACACTGCCTTAGGCGTGTATTTTAACTAAGATGGAGGCTACAGCTTTCCTGTATGAACATATATGTAATATATTTTATACAGTGTTTTGTGCTCTCTAAACCTGGGAAATTCTACAACCTAGGAGTGCATAGCCACAACAAATGCAAAAGACAGAGCCACCTCACTGGGCTCCCCCAGGGTTCATCCACTTCCTCAGCTTGTCTTAGCTCATATTAGCACATGAAGTCTATGCAGCAATCCTGTGGGACCAGGGCACAGTGCAGAAGCCAAGGTACAGTGTGTCGCCCTCAAAGTCATCATCAAAGATCTAGATGAACATATCCCTCACAAGTCCTCTCGCATCCTGTTAGGACCTTGACCTCGATTCTGCCAACCTGTGAAGCCCCAACTCTGCCTTCTGTCCTTTGATCCTGGCCCTAGAGCTTTGAGTAGTGTTGTGGTGGTTTGAAGGAAAATGTCCCCCAAAGGGAGTAGCACTATTATGAGGTGTGGCCTTGATGGAGTACATGTGGCCTTGGAGGAGGAAGTGTGTCATTGTGGGGGTGGGCTCTGAGGTCTCCTATGCTAAAGCCACATCAGTGTGACAAGCACTTCCTGTTGCCTGTGGATCAAGATCTCTCAGTTTCTTCTCCAGCACCATGTCCGCCTGCATGCTGCCTTGCATTTGTCCATGACAATAATGGACTAAACCTCTGAACTATATGCAAGCCACTACAATTAAATGTTTTCCTTTATAAGAGTTGCCGTGGTCATGGTGTCTCTTCACAACACTAGAAACCCTAAGATGGGGGTCATGTGACTTTTTTATGTTGGGAATTGGTCTGGGACCTTTACTCTATTCCTCATTTAACGGTAGCACACTCTTTCTCTCTGACGGACTATACCCTTCTCATTTAGTTGTGCCCTTACCTGTTTGTAAAAAGCTTGCCTCACACTTTGGAATTTCCTTTATATGCAGCAATGTGATTCTCATGCAGTCTCTGTTCTCCCTTTATTTTGGCTGGGTCCTGAGATAGCCCTGACCCACAAGCAAATGGCCAGGATAGCATTCTTTCTAAGTATGGGAAGGTTTGACAGTAGAGAGGTCTTGTAACTGTTCCTTATCATGTTTTGCGTTTTCCTTCTTAATTTTAATTGGATCTAAGACTTTGTCATATAGTAGTGTCAAAATTTCCCAAATATTTTCTTGTGCTAGGCTATTTCTTTTGGGCCACCAACCAGTGTCCAAACCATGACACAGAGACATCATTGGCTTTGAATGCTCAGCCTAGCTTAGACATGTTTCTACCCAAGTCTTTTAACTTAAATTAACCTGTTTCTCTTTATCTACGCTTTGTCCTGGAGCTTATTACTTTCTTACGTCTGTATATCTTACTCCACTGCTTCTCTGTGTCTGCTGACTGGCGTTTGCCTGGCTTCTTGCTCCAGGCATGTCCCTCATTCTCTCTTCCTTCTTCTCTCTTCTCTTTTTCTAGATTTCTCCTATTGTTTCTTCTCTCTGCCCACCAGCCCCACCTACCCTTCTCTCTGTCTAGCTTTTGATTTTCAGCTTTTTATTAGAGCAATCGGGTGTCTTAGGCAGGCAAAGTGAAGCAAATACCACACTTCTTTTCACAGTTAAGCAAATGCAGCATAAAGAAAAACAACACAGCTTTTCACAACTAAAGTAATATTCTGCAGCATAAACGCATGTAACATATCTTTGCCTAGTTAAAATAATATTCCACAACATTTTCTATCATGGGAATCTTTTCATTAGTATCATTAAGATTTTGTGCAAGTTTTTTTCCCTGCTCTCCCCTTCTGTGATGGTTTGAATGAGAATGACCCCCATGGACTCAAGAATTTGCATATTTGATCCCAAGTTGGTGAAACTCTTTGGGAAGGATTAGGAGGTGTGGCCTGTCTTAGGGTTTCTATTGCTGTGAAGAGACACCATGACCACGATATGGTAAATGCATCATTTGAGAGCTGTTTTGCTGTTGCCACCTTTTAAAACAACTACTTCCTAGTCCTTTCTGAAATAGCAGATCAATGCTGTAATCATTCTCAATGTGACAGCCATTCATATGATGGGATGACCACTTGAAGACGAAATAAACCACAGAGAACAAAGGTGGCAAGTAGCTGTAGGCCTGGAGGTGGCTTCCAGAAGGGAGGTACCCACAAATAGCTGGAGGAGAACTGAAGAGCCTCTGCCCTCCCTCCGTAGTGAGCAATCAGGACTTACATACACATTGGGGACCGTTCACACTGGCTCCCAGATACATCCTTCCTTCGAGACTATAAAATATCTGTGGATTCTGTTCTCCAAATTAATAACATTTAATATTTATAAAGACACCAGGAAGATTGTTTTTTCTATTGTGAAATGAACCCAAGAGAAACAGTTCCATAAACAGTAGTCACTTTGGGGCCATGAATATTTAATAGACCATTTCATGGTCAAAAAATCAAAGATACTTGAAATCAGCATTGGCTCCTGATATCAGTTCATACCAGCAGATGAAATGGCAGAACACTCTATTCAGAAGTCTGCTGGTGATTAAGGGGAGCAATTTATGAGCTAGCCCATAATCTAATACCACGATTTTATGAGGCATAGTTCTGGCCTCGTGTCAAGTTTGAGGTAGCAGTGGGTTTCATAGATACTGTTGCTAAGTGTGTCAGGAGAAAACTGAGAACTCTCATTCAAAAATAGCAATGAGATTGTTCACTGTTCCCCCCAACACAGCATCTAACCTAACAAGGGAACCAAGCTGAGGGATGATCCATGTGAGGTGGGAGAGAGCAGGGTTCGTGCTCACTGGAAGAGACCTTGTGCATCTTCAGGGTGGACAGAGTGTGCTGGAACTGCCCTCACATCTCCGTGCAAGTCAGCTGCACATAAGGACGCTAGTGTGCAAGCAGAGAAAGAGCCACTGATAAGTAGTTTCCTGTGGGACCAGTAGGCAGCACTTAGGTTAACCTTGGTTTCTCAATAGTGTACAGCTCAGAAATCTCAAGCAAGAATTTCCTAAAACAGAATTGTCTGGTCGGATGATGGTGGCGCACACCTTTAATCCCAGCACTCGGGAGGCAGAGGCAGGTGGATCTCTGTGAGTTCGAGACGAGCTTGGTCTACAGAGCTAGTTCCAGGACAGGCTCCAAAGCCACAGAGAAACCCTGTCTCAAAAAACCAAAAAAAAAAAAAAAAATTGTCTGAACACCAGAGCACGAGGTGTAGACAAGCTTTGCAGTTGTAGGTGTGGTCAGACAGGGCCCAAGTGCATGAATTACCTGTGATGAGATCGTTGTGTCTGTGGCCTGTGTGCTTAGTGACCTTCAAACATGTAAGATACATGTGTGATGGAGTGCAGAATTGTGTGTCAGTCTCCATATGTAGTCTCAAGAGTCTACATACACTCCCAAGAGTTTCCATATATATTCTTCAGTAGTCTCCATCTACATCCAGCGGTCTCCATATACATCCAACGGTCTCCATATGCATCCAACAGTCTCCATATACATCCAACGGTCTCCATATACATCCAACGGTCTCCATCTACATCCAACAGTCTCCATATACATCCAACGGTCTCCATATGCATCCAACAGTCTCCATATACATCCAACGGTCTCCATATGCATCCAACAGTCTCCATATACATCCAACGGTCTCCATATGCATCCAACGGTCTCCATATACATCCAACGGTCTCCATATACATCCAACAGTCTCCATATACATCCAACGGTCTCCATATGCATCCAACGGTCTCCATCTATATACAACGGTCTCCGTATACATTCAGCAGTCTCCATATACATTCTTCAACAGTCTCCATATTCTCCATCCATTCTTTGGGAGTCAGTCCTGCACGGTCAGCCCTCCCTCGTGTTAGTAACAATGCCTCTACTGGGTGTTCTCCCACCAGTAGATTTTTCCCCTGTCCCTGTGTAGGGCTTTGCTGCTCCTGAGATATTTTTGTGTTCCTGATTGATGGGTTGTTCACACTAGCTCCTGCAACTCTTGTTCTAAACGTGTAAATGTCTATTCCTGTTCAGTAGGACAACACTCGCATTCTGAAGACAGACAGCTAGAGGCTGAGGCAAGATGATCTCAAATTTAAAGCCATCCTGGTATCAACTCTATAGGAAGCCCCATCTCAAGAAAAACAATTAAGTAAATAAATAAGTCTAGTTCATATGCTTTTATTCCAGGGCCATGGGAGATTAAATTTTGCACTAATAAAGATGCAGCTGTATCCCTAAAAACACAGTCTAAATGTCAAAATTCTCATAGCCATATGTATATTTTTTGTAGGATGAGGAAATAAAGATGGAGATTCATATGAATTGTAGTTGAGACTAATATCTAAGTGAAGTAATCACTGAAGGTAAAGTTGAGAATCACTGAAGTAAGTTGTTTAAATACCTTTGGTACTGAAACTATAAAAAATCCTGGTAGAAAATGTCTCTAGTTAAATATGATTGCAATGGTTCTGTTATACTCAAAATTACTGTATTTGAATTTTTCAGCAGAGCCAGATCTTCAGGATCAACCAAAAAGGAAAAGAATTAGAAGGCGCAAATCCAAGAAAAATATTCAAAACCTCAATGATGTTGTTCTAAAGCAAACAGAAGTAGAGACACAGCCAGAGCTTTTGCAAGAGAAAATGCACCCCCAGCTTCCAGATGCCCCCACGATGAGCAAAAATAAAAGAAAGAAGCTGAAAAAGAAGCTGCAGCTTAGGAGGAAGAAAGCGGCCGGCTCCATCACCAAGCCCTGTGGGATCAGTTTCCTGTATCAGCCCGAAAGCGGCAGTGAGGCCGAAGCGGACGGCATCACAGGGGGAGAGACCGAGGAGGACCAGGAGGGCTCCGTCACAGATGCCACCCAGGAAGACATTGAGCTTGCCAACAGCAAGGCCGACAGCATCCTGAGTTTTCTCAGGTCAACACAAGAAATTTATTTTTATGATGGTAAGGGTGTCCCTCCTACCCATGTCTTCCTTTGAATGGTGGCAGCCACCCAGTATTAGGAAAATAACTGAGTGTCGTAAAATGCTTCAGTTGTTACTGTATAAAACACATTAAAGTGTGAGTCTTAGTTATTTTTCACATTGCCCTGATAAGATGTCTGATAAAAGAAACTTAAGGAAGAAGGGGACTTACTGGCCTTTATATGTCATTTTACATATAACGAAGAAAGGCCATCATGGTAGGGAAGTCAGGGCAGGGGAGCTTTAGGCTGCTGATCCTACAGCGACAGTCAGGAAGAAGGGAGCAGTGGATGTTTGTCTTTCTCTCTCTCTCTCTCTCTCTCTCTCCCCCCCTCTCTTTCTCTCGCTCTCTCTGTGTCTGTCTGTCTGTCTGTCTCTGTATCTCTGTCTCTGTCTCTCTGTCTCTCTCTCTCTCTCGTCCAGGATGCCAATCTGAAAGGGTACCTAACCACAGTGGGTGGATCTTCCCATTGTAATTGGCCCTAAGTGATATAACCCACCAAGGACTTGCCTAGAGGGCCATCTCACAGCTGATTCTAGTTGATAATTGGGATCAGCCTTCACAGTATTCCAAGTAAACAGTAAGTTTCAAGTCAAAACCCAGAACGTTTCAATTCTTTCTAATATGAAACTGTATTCGCCCACGGCTCCTACATGTTGTTTCTCCTGTGCACCTTGTGGGAAACAACAGCCAGCACCATGAACTTAGGGTTCCCACTGTGAAGTTGGGCTCCTGCCATGAAGTTTGGGTTCCCACCATGAAGTTGGACTTCTGCCATGAAGTTAGGATCCTGTTAGGAAGTTAGGGTTCCCACCATGAAGTTGGGCTTCTACCATGAAGTTAGGCTCCTGTGTTGAAGTTGGGGTTCCCACCATGAAGTTGGGGTTCCCACATGTGGATTGGGCTTATGAGTTTTGCGTCTCTCAAGTCAGCCTCTGGGATGTGTTGGTGTTGGAGGCTGTGTTTCTCAAAGCAGACCATTTCAGCTGACTGCTTGGACCGGCTGCTCGTTTTTATTAGCTGCAGAGAAGTGAACGAGCCACAGCTTTTCCTAGAGGCACACTGGCTTTTTCCTTTTCATATACAACCTGCTGGCCTGAGTTTTCAGTAAGCACTTTTGAGCAACTGCATATATATATTTATATAGGACCTGAAAAAAATAAATTCTATTCTCCTGGTTGACAATTGCTCATTTTCATACTGTTTGATTAGCAACTGACCTAAGGACCAGAAGGAACTGGTGCCAATCAGCATCCACTGTGATCACATTCAGAACAAGATGCACTGAACGTTTGCTCTCCCAGTTGGATGGCATCACTGGGGCATCTAGGGAAGGGTGTGGGTGTGCTAGGTGTGGGTGTGCTAGATGCCGATGCCAGCCAGCCAGTGAATGTTCTTGAGAGTACCACTGAGAAGTGTGCAGTCATGTGAGAGGTAACTGTGTAATGATCTGTGTGTGAAATACCCCCACACACACAGCAGGTCTGACACTCAGACAGCTGTAATTCGGGAAGACGCCAGGCAGAACAGGAAGTGTTCCTGGAGACGACAGCTGAGCTTTTCAAAGTGATTAAGGCCATATAGGCTCCAGCAGGACTGTCTTAGTGTTTCTGTTGCTGTGGAGAGACACCATGGCCGCGGCAACACCTTTAAAGGAAAACATTTAATTGGAACTGGCTTACAGTTCAGAGGTTCAGTCCATTATTGTCATGGAGTGGAGCATGATATCATGCAGACAGACATGGTGCTGGAGAAGGAGCTGAGAGTTTCTACACCCAGATCTGCAGGCAGCAGGAAGAGAGAGACACAGGGCCTGGCTTGAGCTTCTGAAACCTCAAAGCCCACCTCCAGTGACATACTTCCTCCCCTCTGGTCACACCTATTCCAGCAAGAGCACCTCTCCCTGGTGACCAAGCGTTCAAATCTCTGAGCCTATGTTGGCCATATATATTCAAACAGCCACAAGGACTGACACAGATAGTGTCACATGTAATCACACCATCAATCACAGGAAGCTGAAGTTGGCAAATATGGTCCATACTGCGATGGAATTGTATCCAGCTGTAAGAAGGTTGAAGCTGTGACCCTTCCAGCAAACTGAAACTAAGACCATCACTGATGTTCAGTGAAGCAAGCCAGACTCAGATATACAGATACTGCAATTGTGTTTCCCATATGGAAATCTAAATTTTAATTTACATGTGTGTGTGTGTCCAGGACATGGAAGTAGAAAGGGGACCGTGAGATGGAGGAAGAGATCTAAAGAAAGTGGGGAGGGAGGGACAGCAGAAGGTATGGAAACCATGTAACATGGAAATTGAAGAAGGGACGACTGGTTAGGGACCAAAAAGAGCAGTGATGGCAGCGGGCAGAGGCAGCGGTGGGAAAAGTAAGAACCAGGGTGCATGTGAACATGAAGTGAAATCCATTGCTTAGTGTGCTGACTAAAATAATAAGTAAATGAATAGAAAGTTTAAAAGAGCCAAAGAAAAAAGAACCGATTGTCTTTCCAAGACAGACGCCTAGATCAGTGGACCTTTCAGAGAACAAAGCTGGCCTCTGGGTGGCTTTTCTTGGTTTGTGCTAAACAGCCAGAACCCTTGCTCTGTTGCTGCTGTTTTTAAAGACCCGAAGCTTGCCTTTGAGCTTAGCTTCCTTGTCTGTCTTTCCCTGCTGTTGTCTGTCACTCAGGGCATTGCGTTATGCTCGGAAGCTGTTTAAACAATCAGCTACACACAAGCCGGATTTCCAGTGTCGTGCCAATAGTGGCACACGTTCGTCTTTCTTCCCATAGTCCTATCCCAGTTCTCTCCTGGGAGCTTGTTACGTTTCCCGCATCTCATCGCAAGCGGGAGGTGTATTTGAGGACTCTGAATGAAGTGAAGTTTATCTTGAAACTAAAATTCTGTGGGTCTCCTTTCAGAAACTTCCAAAGACTTCGATCCCACAGTGTGCGTAGAAACAACTGAAGAGCTGCTTCACCTCCTTGAGTCTCGGAGCATGCCCCCCTCAGACGTGCTCATCCTGGACCACCTGAAAACTCTGCTGCTCCTGCAGGACACCGAGAGGCTGCAGAGCGCTCTGAAGATGTTCCCAGAGCACTGTGCAATGCCCCCCGGTAAGTACCACAGCATTCACTCAAGGGTTTCCCCAGAGAGGAGTGTGAAAAGATACAAGACCTAGAACGGAACCTTCAGAGAAAGATTGAAGGATCTTCCAATCTTGCAAGTAGGGGTGTCTGCACTCCACTTCCCTGTACTCAAATTCACTGTGAAGCTTCCTTATGTTATCCCAACACAGAAAAAGACACAGAGAGCGCAAACACCTTGTCTATAGGCAAAAAACAAATAGTATCTCAGAGGGCCTGTGTGAAATAAAGGGGAATTTGCACACACACACACACCAGCACCAGGTCTCCCAGATACTATATACTACGTGGTTTGGAAGTAAAGCATCATATGGAACAAATCAAGGGGAGCCCTGGGATTGGGCCAGAACTGTGGAGGGGTCCCCTCTGTCCAGGCTTAGGGCTGTCTCATGTTCTCTGTAGCTGCAATCTTTAGAGGTAGAACCACACTAAACTCTAGATGTATCTTTTCTGGGACCTGTGGCTCACATGCAACTTGGGGTGATTGTAAAACCTGATGCTCAAGGAAAGTCTGGGCCCCTTGGGAAGGGCCTGGAGGGCTGGCAGGTGTGTAGAGATGAACTCTGTCCCCTCGGCTGAGTTTTGGCTTTCGCGGCACAGCACTGCCATCCTGAAGGCCGAAGACTCCAGCTCCCTGTACGCCACTTAGGATTCCATCTCTTTCCTGGACACGAACTTCCATTTCCTTTCTGCCTCCCTTTGCACTGTGCTGCTGTCGGCTTATTGCTGTACCAGGATAGCATTCCTTAGATTGTTTCGGGTGTTCTCTGGGCCTAAGGGCTAAAACCTATAAAGTAATTAGTATTTATGATTTTATTTATTTAATTTTTTGTTCTGGTTTTGTTTTTGCCTTACAGACCATGCCAGAGTGATCTCCGCCTTCTTTAACTATTGGATCACACATATTCTTCCTGAGAAGGAAACAGTGAATGAAGCAGCGTCTCTTTAAGAAGATCTGACTGCTCTTTAACAAGAAGGTGTTAAATACAAATATGTCACGGACTGAACTTCATTCTTGTACAGAAAGATTTATTTTCTGTGTGAGTCAAACACTGGAGACATTGAAGACATTTCTACCTTATTATTTATTTCTGTGCTTGTATATAGTAGGTAAGGTATTAGATGGGAAATTAAGGTAAAATTGATATATGTATTGAATAACTACATATCACTGGATTTTTTTCTGGTATCCACAATAATTAAAAACAAACATTTTATTAAATAAGCAATATAATTTGAAGTTATCGTATTTGTTATTAAAATCACCCTGTGTCTGAAAACCCTAGTGCCCAGGGAGGTTGCTCGGCATATAGGAAGAGCTGTGCTGTGCTGCCTGAAATCCGAGCCCTGCAACCCAGAGCTGCTGCAGCTGTACGCATCTATACCCCAGCACGCCTATAGCAAGACGGGAGGCAGGGATGGGAGAACTCGCTGGAGGTTCCCCAGCCAGGTCGCCAGAAGCCTGTAGTGCAGCAGCAGAAACACAGAGATCCCGCCTCAACAAGGAGGAAGGCAAGAACCTGTTCCTGAAAATTATTCTCTGTGATCCCCTGTAGCATGTGTGCACCCACACTCACAAACACACACGCACATGCATGCACTCACAATACAATACTTCTTTTTTTTTTTTTTTGGTTTTTCGAGACAGGGTTTCTCTGTGGTTTTTAGAGAATACAATACTTCTTAAATGGTGTGTTTATCACAAGTTTTATATTGGTAAAAAGGTTAAATAGTTTGATTATAGCTGGACTTATTCTCTTCCCTCTGATCGACATTAGAAATAGTATAACGTTTTCCTTGTTTCATCTCTCTTTGTATTATGGGAATACCCACCAGTTTTTAACGCTGAGCTCTAAAAGCGTTAGTCACCTGACCGCACAGGGGCTGAGGAAGACAAGGACTCACAAATCCTAGCTGTATCCATGAAAATATAATAGGAATAAAGTGAAGTTCATCGACTAGTCACTGTGGAGGGTAGTGAGTCCTCCCTGGCACCACTGCTGACCCTTCTCAAGTCCTGGCATCGTAAGTCCGTGCCACCATCCTAGCACAAATGGAATCTTGTGTTGGTTGGGTTTTTTTGTTTGTTTTTCGAGACAGGGTTTCTCTGTGTAGCCCTGACTATCCTGGAACTCACTCTGTAGATCAGGCTGGCCTCGAACTCACAGAGATCCACCTGCCTCTGTCTCCCGAGTGCTGGGATTAAAGGTGTGCGCCATCAGCACCAACCCTTTCTTCCTTTTTTTTTTTTCACTTGGATTTTTAAGTGTGGGCACAGTAAATGACAGACAGCATCGTGTCACACTGTCAGCAGAGTAAATGTGTATTTTCTTGAGTCTTGGGCACATTTGTGGCTTTAGTTTTATGGTGGTTCACAGCTCTCATAGGCTGTCTTCCCAACAGAGTCGAATTTGCGCCATTAGTGTGACCCGTGCTCCCGATGCATTGGTGAGTGGGATGCAGCCATTATCATGACGTTTCTGTCTACAAATGGCAAGTGTTCAATCTTAGAAGATAGATAAGTGTTCTCATTTGAGTAATAAAGGTATTTCTGCCCCTCAGCCATGCCACCCATCATCCACCACACTTCATAAGCAGCCCTCAACTTGCCCGAGCTCTGCTTTCTGTTTTCCTGACAGTTAATTTTCATAGTGAACTTAGATGTGGTCCCTTATCTATCATCATTCTGTTAATCCCATATGGTTTCTATAGCATTGAAAACAAAACCCCAGAGAGGAAAGATTACAGGTGGAAGAAGTTTGCTAAACAAAAATAGCCAGATAACTGTTTCTCTTAAGGCAGATGGACTGCACTGTACCCTTAGAGGGGATGTGTTCAGATTCCCAGCAGATGTCCTTTGAGTGCTTGCCTGATACATGTCTGCGCATTTTGCCCACGAACGCCAGAGGAGAGCATCAGATCTCCTGGAACAGGAGTTACAGATGCTTGTGAGGCACTGTGTGGGTGCTGGGAATGAACTGAGGTCCTTTGGGGGAAAGGGCAGCAATTGCTCCTAAGTACTGAGCTATCTCTCCAACTCTTAACACTCCCCCCACCCAAAAAAACTAAGTTGTAACTCAGATTATGTTGTAAAAGCTAGTTATATGGTCATGTCCTTGATGACAGAAACAAGACAAAACCATTTTCTAATAGTGAATTTGTTAAGTGGTATAGGGAAATTGTGGCAGATATAATGTACATTGAAACGGGAGAGGTTTCTAAGGAGAGCTTGTCTCAGTAGACTATAGCCAGACAAACTGAGGAAACGGGACAGTCTCTCAAAAGAAGTTTGGAGAGCAGAGGTGTTCTTTTCAATTCTATTCATGGCCTTGCTAATGCTACCCATGCCGTTCAACTAAAGGTATTGGGAATGAATACAATGCCATTAAAGAAATGGTTGCTTTAGTTGTATTAAAGGACACAGCTAAATCAAAAGTTTCTATGAGCAATAAAACATGTTGAAGCAGGTGCTGTAGAGAGAGGCTCAGCAGTGTAAGAGCAGTTGCTGATCTTGCAGAGGACCCAGCTCCAGTTCCCCATTTGGTTCACAATTCCAGGGGGTCAGATGCCTTCTTTTGATTTTTGTAGGCACCAGACATGCACATAGTGTATATATATATACATACAAGAAAAACATTATGCACATAAAAAAGAAGTTAAAGTGACAATTTTTGTCCATTTTCAGCATACCTTGTGTAGCTATTGTTGGTTTCCTGGTGACAGATAAAAGAGAGGGACTTATAAAACTAATTGAAGTTGACACAATTTCCACCCATAATTCACATTTAATGAGGTATCATGGCATACTACATCAAGAAATGTATACACAGAATCATTAAAGAATGGGCAACATCATACAAATCATCAAGACTGACATTCATAAGAATCAAAGATTAAGTCATCGCTGATTCCAGAAAAGCCTTAAAGCTGCACTGACTGCCAGTATCATGTAGTTCTCGGGAGTAAGATAGCTAAGTTGAGGCCAGATGTGACTTGAAACATAAAATCTCTAGTCTTTTATGATATCAAAACAAAGTTTGTGCCAGAACTTGACAATGAAAATAGGTTTATAGATTTAGCATTTTTATTGGATTTAATTGTTTGTCTAAATGAATGAAGGATTTGTTGTCAAGATGAAAACCAACTCATGGATCCACTTCAAACCCTGACAGCTTTCAGATGACACTGGGACTATGGCAAGCTCCAGTTAAGGCCACAGTTGTAGAGATTCTGATACACTGGCTACATGCAGTGTTGTGGGAGGAAGATGGAACCTTGGTCTTTTTATTAGATTTTCAAAACATTTCATACAGTCCAAGAAACTGTCAGTATTTAGGTCTACTTGACTCAATTTTCAGCCAACTTGAATATATCCCCTGCCAATTTTCAAACGGATGTCAAGTGTTTCCAAACTGCATAGCACTGCAGCCTGACGTTCAAATTAAAAAAAAAAAAAAATGAGAGAAGGTGCGCTAGAATTCTCTCTGTAGACCAGACTGTCTTGAACTCACAGAGTTTCGTCTGCCTCAGCCTCCCCAGTGTGGGATTAAAGGCATGCTCCACTGTGCTCAACAAGGAGAGATTTTCTGTCTCTATTATAGGTCCCATCCTCCTGGAGACAGGTACCCCCCCCCACTTCAGTCACAGGTTCATCCTCCTGGACACAGGTGCCCCCTATTTCACAGTTGCGCCCTGTTCACGCCATCCCATTTTGACAGCACCTATATGTGAGCAGCTGTTTTCAAGAATGGAACATACTTAGAACATACTTAGAGCAAAATGAGAACAAAATATTTGATGAGACACCAACCTTAAGAACGCAGTGAGAACTGCAGCTACATCTGTCAAACCAGGTGTTGATGCCTTCACTTCTCAGATACAACGGCAAGTATCCCGCTGGTTTTATGCCACCCTCTTTTATATTAAATAAATAAATTAATGAAGGGCCTTTGTACAGAGACGTCAGAAAGGCCTTGCTACACACGGCACAGAGAAAACACATCACTCGGCTGTTAATGCCATCTCTGTGCTCGGGAGAACTTGGCCTTCCTTGTCTTCAGTAGTTTACCAGGAAAGCTGTTGAAAAATACCACCAGGTAGATAAATTCTACAAGAAAAAAAAAAAAGTCTTCCCTCACTCTGAAACAGGAAGATGAAGATATAGGTGGGAAAATGTATTGTGCTTTCATCGGTGTAAGCAGGGCTGTAAGTTTATACACACCGGGTTTTCAGAGTACAGCTGTGTTCAGATTTGGGATCTCTTCTGTGATATTTATATAAAATGGCATCATAGTTTTGATATCCAGTTTTTAAACTCTAAGTCATAATTGTATAGGTAAATTTCTCTTTCTGGTGTAGCAATCTCAGTGACTCCAAAAAAAATCTACTGAAAAGAGATACTTTGATTTGAAAAGTAGTTTAAACCCATCCCCCCCCCCAAAAAAAAGACAACCTTTGTCAAGAAGAAAATGTGGAACGTGGTTAGCACACGGTAGCCAGAAAACCCAGACTTTAACATGTCTGTTTGTTCTGACATTGTTATGTTGGGAGCCCTGCTGGTTAGAGACTGCTGTCTACCATAGCCTGGCAACTCTCTCTGAACTCCAATGTGTAGGACTCTCTGCCCCTCCCCCTGCCCCAGCAGAGACTTCCTGCTCTCCACCTGACCCCCTTTGAAGAATGTCTCTAGGACGGGATGCCTGGCTTGTGACCCTTGACACAGTTCCCTGCAAGAGCTTCCCCCTGCTGCCCATATAGCAATCAGACTTCATGGTAGGAGCTCTGCTGTAGGACCTGATGCCACCCACAGCGCTTTATGACAGGAGCAGCTGTTCTATGCAAACTCGGTGATGCCCCAGCCGCTGTCCCGTCTTTCTCACCTTCCCTCATTCTGTAGGAAAGCTGATCTGTAACACTCCAGCAGTCTCCCGGAAGGCCATTTCTGTAATGCCACAGACAAGGCCCCAATGGCCACTTCTTACTTCTTCTCTGCCTTCATGGCCTGGTGGCCAGCAGACCATGGGGAAAGACAGGACCTGCAGTTGCTGCAGGCTGTCAGGAGAAAGTGATGGCCAGAGCCATCTCAGCTCCCAGCCCTTCTTGGCATCCGGGTTTCCTCTCTGCTTTGGGTTAGATCGTATTGCCACTGACCTCGGGTCCCTTGTGGTCTTGGGAAACTGGATGGATGTTGAGCTTGAACCCTGAACTCATGGAGGGCAGGTAG